TGTTAGAGATAATCCTTTCGGGGATTTCAAAAATATTAGGTGAGCAAATCTGTGAAAGGGCAAATGAGGTACCTGCACAAATGGCTAATTAGATGTGTTTGTATCTGAAGTTACCATGCAGTTTACGCACAGTTAGCGAATTGTGCAGTGTAACTGCATTTTTGCATGCATTGTGAACCTGATTCAAAAATCTAGTTCAAAGCCTTCAGTCTGTGAATTGTTGGATAGCTCAGTGGTTTGAGCATTGGCCTGCTAAACCCAGGGTTGTGAGTTCAATCCTTGAGGGGGCCATTTAGAGATTTGGGGCAAAAATTGGGGATTGGTCCTGCTTTGAGCAGAGGGGTTGGACTAGATGACCTCCTGAGGTCCCTTCCAATCCTGATAGTCTATGATTCTAATATTGTTCAGGTTTTCTAAATAAAAGAGTCTATATAATAATACAAAACAATAATGCTTTCTGCATTTTTCTTCATAAACAAATCCATTCTAGTGGTCTGCCATGATCTTTATGGCTTTTCATTTGGCACTTGGTTCATTTGTGTTTTTTCTGCCATGTTTCATAACAGATTTGATGCTTTGAGACCAGTTGATGAACATATTGAGACACAGGTCCAAAAGACTATATCTTGGGCTCTTTGTTTACATATGCCCAATTGTTCACTGATGTAGATAGATCTTGCTTAGTGGATGTAAAATAAAAAACATTTTTTCCTCTTTTATACATTGATTTCCAAAAGTATGGTATGCTAAGGATTATGTCAATATTTTGTACTGATGTGACATTTCTTTCTAATATCTATTATTATTCTTTTTATTATTAATCACTGTTGTATTGAGTTAGTAATCAAAAGCTCAGTTAGAAGTGGGGTCCCATTGTACTAGATGTACAAATGTGTCCATTTGATTAACAGTATTTCTAAACTCATTTGTTCATATTTTTCAGGATGGGTTGATTCAAAGCACCAATTTTAATAGTTAAATTAGCAAGTAGGAAACATTGACTTAAAGAATTGATTTTAATCTTGTTCTGCATTTGTAGTTTTTAGTTATTTTCCTAAATAAAGGTTGATTTTCATTGGTTGATAATTATTAAAACATGTTGATTTGCAACTAATATAGCATTTACACTAACTTCTTTTTGATAACCAGGAGGATACACTGTATATGTATACGTTTGTTTAAGCAATTACATTGCTTAACATACTTTTTTTTCAGATTCTTAGTTTTTACATTTTTATTATGTTAGAAAATGGTGAATAATGCATTTTTAGTTATCAGATGATTAATTTTTTACTCATAATTAGTGTCAAGGTCCATTTGAATGGACCTTAAGATTCAACTAAAATGAGCAAAACTAGTATTTTAAAGTTGTTTTTATTTGTTAAATATAATTACAGTACCTTAAATGTGCTGGATACATAAGGGAAAAAATTAAGTGTATCAAAACATGTTTTGAATTAAAAATGAACTGATTTATTAATCACAGGAAGTTTTATCTGTAGTTAGTGAATGAAACTGATTGTTTTTGGTCACCATGCCCTTTGAATTTTTAGAATTAGTAGGTTTCATCCTCTGCACACATTATTTTTATTAATAAATGGGGAGAAGAGGTTTTTTCAATTCCCACTTATTTTCTCAATTTTGAGTGAGCTAGTCAATGAAATGAGTTGGTTGAATAAACTGAAATGGAGAAAATATTCTCTTTGCACCTGAATAAGTGGTTACTGCTGTCAAAAGCTGGTTTAACACTTCAACAAGCTCTGATTCCAGGTGCTTAGCCAGTGACTTCCATCAACTCAGTGGCTGGATTTTTCTTTAAAACTTCAGCAGCAAACATATACTTTTATTTAAGTGACTTTAATAGATTATAGCAACTTTGTGTTAATGTAAATTGTCATAATTTCAACTACTTTTAAATAGGTTTATTTTTAAAAATATATTTAATTTAAATTAGAAATCATTTATTTTTATCCACCTTGATATTTTTATTTCACGTTTAAAATTCCTTTTTGTAGCATTGTGATAGCAGTGTTGGTACCAGGATATTAGACAACGGGCAAGTCTACGCTATAAAATTAAGTCGACCAAAGTTACATCAATGTACAGCCATCACAGTAATTAAATCACTTTTACATGTTCACACTACGCTCCTTGTATCAGCGGTGTAGACACTTACAGAGTTAGGTCGACATAAACTGCCTTACGTTGACCTAACTCTGTAGTGTAGACCAAGCCAACTTGGGTGAGGTAATATCTTTTATTGGACCACCTTCTCTTGGTGAAAGACAAGCTTTTGAGCCTACTCAGAGCTCTTCTTCAGATCTGGGAAATATATTCCGAGTTTTACAGCTAAATACAATGTGGAATAGATCGTTTAGCATAAGTAGTTAATACACACTGTAAGGGACCATTCAAGGTAAAGTGGCCAGTTAACACCTCGACAGTCATAGGACAAAAAAAAAGAGTTAGTAGGTTACAGGTTCTTGTAGTAATCCATAGATCGAATGTCTTTATTAAGTCCATGATTTTCAATGGGTAGCTAAGTTATGACTTTTAAGCTCGTACCTCATCTTCAGAAAGTGTTGTGCAGATTTCCTTTGAGGATTAGGACTGAGAAGTCAAATATGGAGTGATTGCTTTGTGAAAAATTTCACCTGTGGGTGATATGGTGCTCTTGTCTTATATCGTTTTTCTGTGAGAGTTCATTTGAGAGTGTAATGATTGTCTTGTTTCAGCCACATAGTTGATATTGGGGCATTTAGTGCATGGGATGAGGTACCCCACATTTTGTGATATGCATGTAGGAGCCATGTGTGACTGGGTGCCTGGGATAGATCACACTGAGAATGCCACACTGAGGGCATGAAGCAAAAAATAGGGCAGACAATCCCCCAAAACTGTGATTTGTTCTATAATTAGATTCACCAAGCCAGTAACAAAAGAGCTTCTGCACTACCACACTGGTTAACCAGAAGCCAAACACAGTCTGCTTTAAGCATTTCAGCCCTTGACTCCCATCCAGACAATCAAGTCTAATATATTGAGAGGTTACTGAAACCTCATTTCACCATATGTGAGGTTCTTACTGATCCCAAAGTATCAGACACTTACCCCAGATCAATACATATCTTAGATCTTACCCAAATATCACGCTGTCAGCCAATCCTTAGTAAACTAACTGAAGATTTATTAATAAAAGAAAAGAAGAGAGTTATAAATGATTAATAGAACACACACATACAAATGATTACAAAGTCCTTATATCAGGTTTCTGGCAGTGATGGAATAGACCGCTGGTTTGCAAAGTCTCTCTGGTAACCTCCAAAAGATTGGAAGGTCCTCCATAGTTCAAGATGCTGCTTTTTGTTGTAAACCCACAGTGCAGAGAATTAGACCAGGAAAGAGGCAAAATGGAGGTGTCTCAGGATCTTTTATATCCTTTGCCATGTACATGGAGGTTTACTGTCCCAACCAAAGCCCGTAGCCTGCATACATGGAAAGTAACTGGCCCAAGATGGAGTCCAGGGTCACATGTCCTTACATACCCTTACATACTTTGCTGTCTCACAGCGGCAGCAATTGCTCATATTCTTTCTGAGACATCCACAGGAAATGCTTACTGGGTGGGATGAATTTCTTCAATGGCCCATTAAGAGCATGGCATGTTCTTAATTGGCCATCAACACATGGCTGTTTAGCCCTGATAGAAAAGTATAATCTATCTGGAGGGTGTTTCCCAGAAACAAAACAGATGTTGGAGATACAAATACATAGCCAATATTCATAACTTTAGATATAAAGATGATGCATATAAAGAGGATAATCCTATGTGATAGATTATAACTTTTCCATTGACACTTTACATGGTACACTTTGTATAAAAATCGTTGCAATTGTATAACAGTGGTAACAATGATACAAATGGTCATTTTTCTTATACATAGAATCACACCATCAATCTTGAAAGATGTGGTGTGGGGATATTTATCATTATAGCACTGGAGATATTCTCTAATTGCTGTAATTTCCAATAACTTTTTGGCAGAATCTGGAGTACCACATGGATCTACATATCCATTCCATTATTTATATCACTGTGCTCTGTGTGTGCTGAAAGTCTGCAGGACAGCAACTAAAGAGGTTTGAGCCTGGAACTCAGTTGCCTAGTGTTGTCCAGTTTTTAGCCCATGGTAGACTGATCCTTCTTTCTCTTACGTTCTGGAGACTCCCCCTACTTTTATATAGTACAATAATATATATCCATTTTATGTGTACGTATAATGGAGTTCCTTAGATTTTTTTTTAATGGGTTGTTCTTGGAATAGATAAGGTGAATATTCACATGTTGATATTATTCAACTGAATATATTAATTGTAAGGGTAACAAAATATTGAAATAAATTACTTTAACTGATCATTGGAGTTATTTTCAATTCTTACTATTTTTAAAAGGTATATGTTATTTACTGTCATAACCTTTAACTGTAAACTTCTTTGGGATTAAGTAAGTAGTTTTTTCCCTGTGTGTCTTTTATCCATCCAGAGAACAATTCTTCAGTTGTTTCTCACTTTACACATTTAGGGAATGTCATCACTGTCTGTTCTTTAGATTGAATTTATATTATAGGTCATCCATATGGTTTCTTAAAGTTTTACAGTCCTTGATAATTTTTGTTATCATGACAGGATGCAAAATAACATGCACAGCTTAGAAAGTCACGTCATATAAATGAAGAGTTAATGGTTTGGTCTTATCCACATTTTTTATAACTATTTTTAATCAAGTTTGTTAATTAAAGTGGTTTAATCTGATGCTTTGTAATATCATCAGCTGTCTCACACATGCTTTTCTATTGGTAGAAGATTTGAACCCATAATAAAAATCTCTTGGTGGTTTTGACCAATTTTATGGCTAATTAACATGGATTAAATAAATTTTGTACTGATGAAATAGATGTATTTGTTTTTAATCAATAATATATAATTCATTTTTAAATTAGGCTGCAAGCTAATATTGGCAATTGTGCTTGAAATGCAATCACTTTCCTGCTCTTCTAAGGATAGTAGTCAGCCATCACCTGGTAAGTTTCCTATAAAGACTTTGTATTGTACAGTTTTCGGTTGGTTCAGACTTTTAAAGCCGTCAAACAAGATTTAAGTAATTGCTTTATTTTTATGTTTTTTAACTGTACTTAATATGTTTTTTGCTTGTTTGGCTCTCCTTGTGCCCACAGTACTGCTTCACAATCCTATTGTGGAGACAGTGCTATAGAACGTTTAAACTCAAGCCACTACCTACTCTTGGCTCTTCTTCCCCTGAAGTTAGAGTTCAGTTCTTCTGTCTGGAAAAACTGAAATTGATTAGATTTGAAATTAAGTGTCCTTTTAAATTAAATCTTAAATTCTGCAAAAAATGATGAGTGAGACCCTTTTCACCAAGGTACACTTCTTACTTGCCACCAGTGAGTAGATTTGTGAAGTCCTGCTTGTAACCCATGGTTATAATCTATTGAGGAGAAAATCGAGCAGTTAGAGGGTAATTTTCTTTATCTAATAAAATTAAAGAATTTAAGAATCTGATTTTTAAAAGATAAGAAGGAAAAGTGAGCTTGCTCAGTTAAACTAGTGATTTAAAGAAAATCAGGAACTGCAACACTCACAGCAATATTAATCTGGCCATATCCTTCACGCCTTTGGAAATATATTTCAAAAATATTAATCTAATACAGATTTAACAAATCAAATGGGAATAGAAGATTCTACATATTTACAATAAATTTGAAATAAAATTGCTCTGGGATTCTTAACTCTTGCATTTCCTGATATTTTTTCATTTTAACTATGCAGCCTTTGAACCAGATAATGCCTTATAGGTACTGGCCCACATTATGCATGAAGTAGAACTGTAGTACTTCAGGGGGACCTGCAAAAGAGATTGTACCTCAGGGCATAGGGGGAGAGCAAATACTGCATTATAGGGGTATAGCTAGCTCCAGATACAGTCATCCATGTTTCCTTCCAGAGGCAGTGTTTGATGTTTATTGTAGTTGTCAAGGTTCCTCTCCCACTCTGAACTCTAGGGTACAGATGTGGGGACCTGCATGAAAAACCTCCTAAGCTTCTCTTTACCAGCTTAGGTCAAAACTTCCCCAAGGTACAAAATATTCCACCCTTTGTCCTTGGATTGGCCGCTACCACCACCAAACAAATACTGGTTACTGGGGAAGAGCTGTTTGGACACGTCTTTCCCCCCAAAATACTTCCCAAAACCTTACCCCACTTTCTGGACAAGGTTTGGTAAAAAGCCTCACCAATTTGCCTAGGTGACTACAGACCCAAACCCTTGGATCTGAGAACAATGAAAAAGCATTCAGTTTTCATACAAGAAGACTTTTAATAGAAATAGAAGTAAATAGAAATCACCTCTGTAAAATCAGGATGGTAGATACCTTACAGGGTAATTAGATTCAAAACATAGAGAACCCCTCTAGGCAAAACCTTAAGTTACAAAAAAGATACACAGACAGAAACAGTTATTCTATTCAGCACAATTCTTTTCTCAGCCATTTAAAGAAATCATAATCTAACACATACCTAGCTAGATTATTTACTAAAAGTTCTAAGACTCCATTCCTGGTCTATCCCCGGCAGAAACAGCATATAGACAGACACACAGACCCTTTGTTTCTCTCCCTCCTCCCAGCTTTTGAAAGTATCTTGTCTCCTCATTGGTCATTTTGGTCAGGTGCCAGCGAGGTTACCTTTAACTTCTTAACCCTTTACAGGTGAGAGGAGCTTTCCCCTGGCCAGGAAGGATTTCAAAGGGGTTTACCCTTCCCTTTATATTTATGACAGTAGTCAATTATCATGCCAACATTTTCTGCAGGGTGTCATTCCTATCCTGATAATGCCCTTCACCATAAATTTTGGTTAAAAGGTCCTTGGTTTTCATCTGGAATGGGTTAAAGTCAATAGAAAAGTCCGTCCAAATTTTTGTCTCATTTGACACCAAGAGATTAGGTGAAACTTTCTCCAAGGGAATTATATATAAATGGCTGTATCGTATCATATTCGTTGTTACATCTTAATCTGATTTATTGTTATATCTGAATCTTCAGAGCATATAAAGGTATATGTAGTCTCAGGTACATCAGTAATAGTAGCTAGCCTTACATCAGTTTATATCCAGGAGTTCTGCAGGACAGCCACATGGCATTCGCTATATTTTCTTCAAAACTCTTGTTTGGATTCAGCATCCTTGTTTCTTCAATAGATGATATTTTGGGTCAGACTCTGATACCCTTACTTAAGTTGTACAGTATCTTATTCAGCAGGTCATTAAGATACTGCTGCATGTGAGTCAGGTGGCACAATCTGGTTTTTTATCAGGTAACAGAATTGAGTAGGGGACTCAAGGAAACCTTATAGTTTTTTAATGTAAGTGTTTGCTTAAAATAGTTTATTCCTGGGATAGTTTCACTGCCCCAAAATGAAAAGGATTGTTCTATGCTTTCATTCCTCCAAAAAGTAAAAGAGTACACTGGCTAGAGCTAGGTGTAGTATATGCAGAGCTGCCAAGCGGGTCCACCAGAGATATTCTTTCACCATTTCTGTTCCACTCTGGGCCTTTCTAGAGCAGAAGTTGGCACTCGTTTCCTGTTACTTGTTGTTGTCATTTTCCTGATTTGGACAATTATCCACTAAGGGCTAGAAATAAACCATCAAACTCATTTCACTTGTGATGAGCCTTAGATGGAGGAATGCATTAAATTGCTTTTTGGCCTCAGATTCCTTTGTCTTGTCTCTTTATTTTTTAGTTTCTTCTTCTTTGCATTTTTCTATACTTTCTTGAGTTTCTCCTTTCACCTTTTAGATTGTATTTTTAATCCTCTGCTAACTTCTTGCATTTTCTTAAAATCTGAAATTTGATGTTTGCTGTTGTAAATGACAGTGGGCTAGACTTCGTGCAAAATACATTCACATTGTTAGAGCTAGTTGCTATGTCTTCTTAATCATAAAACCAAGATTTACTACTTGAAAATGAATGGAAAAAAATGCGGACATTTATATGTGACTTTTGGTGTGTATTTTGTTTTCAGATAAGAATAAAGAGATGCTCCTAGGTTACCCCACCAGGCGTCGTAGTTGTGCTTTTGTAAATACTCCATCTCCATGTGTTAACAAAGCTATTAATCACATTCAAGAGCTGGAAATAAAGATAGAAAGCTCCTTTCAACAGGTACTGTATGACTAAAAATTGTCAAATGTTAATAGAATCTTGGGTCTGTATACATAACCAGATTGTATCTTTGAAAAGGATTTCCATTTTATAATAATGGAAAGTAGTATACTCTCTCTAAACCAATGTCAGGCTAGTTCATTTACTAGTCAAGACATTTTTTTAGCTATGTACAGTCCTGGTCAAACTACCTCATTAAAATTAAGCTGCCTTCTGTCTGTTTCACACATCATCATCCAAAGGCACATAGAGGACATCTTGATTTTCCTAAGCCAAATTGTTCCAGTATATTCAATGGTATTCAAAAAACTTTTTTTGGCACTAAACCAACTAGATAGATAAATTTGATCTGTGCACCACTGTCATTTTTAATAAGTGATTTTGTTTTCTAGCAACATTTAATAGTTCTTTGATTTAAAAATAAAAGGCAGTGTTTCTTTATTCTAATGTCCACTAAAAAGCATGGGTTGATAACACTGCATCTAATTTTCTCTTACCTCGTTATATGTTGGTAGAATTGAGACTGATGCATCTTCTTTTCCTAGAGCTTGTTATGTAGGATTTCCCAAACTTTGGAAAACTTTGCAGGAGGATTAGAAGGTGGCTTGCAGCTGGCGTATACATTTTTAAAAAGAATATGAGTAGGGAAGCTAAGTTGAGGGGAGAAAAGAAGACATGAGGGAGGTGATACATACTGGCAGATAGGTAGAAGAAAGACAAAATGTATATGTGTGTGTATAGTACAGTAACAGGAAATTTGCCACACACTTCTCTGGGAACATGATCAGGGTCATTGAGAGAATATACTCTTATATGAGGAGCTTTTTCCAAATAGCAATTAGTAAAGTTAAAGGGAGAACCTACCCTGCCTCCTTCATGTTTATGAAGAAAGTGGAGAAACTGTATGTAAAGATACCTTGCAAAATTGGGTAACAGATAATGTTTATAAAATGGCATCTTTTTTGTTTTCTTTTATATTGACAAAGACTGTTTTTGAGTATTAATATTATTTATTCATAATTTCTTGCATGGTATGGAGCAGGTATTACTAGAAATTATTTAAAAAACGACTCTTATTTAGAGTTGGTTATCATTTATCTTATTTACCTGAAAGGATATTAAAGAGCCCATATATATTTGGGATATACACAATTCCAAAGACATGTTAGCTATAATTATTTTTAAAGCGGATAAAAACAAATTCATGTTTATGTACATTGATGTGTCCCCCTTGCAATGGAAAGTTTAGTGACGTGTTACATTTACATTAGAAAACATGTATTTGACCAAGATGCCTTAGTGAAATTTAGCTTTTATGTTTGCAGCATGATCGTACACTTGAGAAGGAGAAAATGCCATGGTAAGAATTATACATGATTTTTGTTTTAATGCCAGATCATTGTTTGATAAGTTAGTCTGCCTAAAATCCACACTACATGAACTTCAGCACTTTACACATTTTCCACCGTGCTTTGAATGGAACTATAATTACCATACTTTTTTTATATAGCATTTTGGGGAACTGGATGGCTCCTGGGATCGATAATGGTATATGGAGCATTTGACCTAAATGACTAGTTGATGATGTCAGTGGGATTTGTTAGGTGCTCATCACATCTGAAAATCAGGCTGCTTAGTTAGGTGCTAAAATATGGAAGTTGTAGCTCTACTGTAGAGTCCCATTTTTAAAGTCTTGGCCTTGAAGTATTAAGTGTGAAGGACAGACTAGTTATGATAAACCATACTTCGTTGCAGTGCTCTGTGATATTTGTAAACTCATATTGTTCTGTGTAAATTTTCTTAAACTTTATTATTTATATGTAACATTTATTGAATAAGAGATCAGTTACCTCAGATGCTGTTTAACTATGCAAGAGGCCCCCCAGAAGAGGACAGACAATTCCAAAACCTGGGTAGAGGAAAAAGTCCGTTTGAAATTGACACTGCTTGGTGACCAATCATACTGAGAGGAAGTAGACATTTTTAATCCTCTCCCTCAAATTTCTCATCCTATCATAGTTTTAAACTTTACACTAAATAAATACCTTTTGTACTTTCAGTATTATTTGTGACCTGGTTGTGTGAGTTTCAAAATCTTTCATTTGTGGTTGTCAGGGATGCTTTTAAGGGTCAGGCAACCTTAATACCCACCCCATCGATACATCTTTTTTTAGAACTGCCTTTTTTCACTTAGTCCAATCTTTTATAACAGCAATAACTGATGAAAGAATGGATGGAGGCTGGATTCTGATCTCTGTACGACAGTGTAAATCCAAAGTAACTTCATTGTCTTCAGTGATTTTACTCCAGGTTTACACTAGTGTAAATGAGAACCGATCCTGTTTGTGCTCATTGGTCAATATCCAGTATCTTCTCAGGTGTGCATATATGAATTTGACATTGACTTAGTTGAAATCAGGACTAACTGTTATTGGCCAGTGAACATATTTTTTATTTGCTGAGCCCCCAAAATGTTCTAGACATCATACAGCCAAATAAAAAAGCATGGGACCTGCCCTGAAGAGTTTGTAATCTAGTAACATTAATTTAGGCCCCAGTCCTGCAAACTGCTCTACTGTGCAGACACCAGTGTAGTTAGATATGCGCCATGCAGGTCAGGGGTCTGTCTGCGTGGAGCTGCTTTGCAGGACTGGGGTCTGACGGACCAACCAAGTACAGACACAAGTAAAGAGACATAAAAATTCCCCCTCATTATCTCTTGACTAAAGCTGAATTCCACTTTTCCTTACTTAACCCCAGCCTAGTGTCTGTTGCTTTGATGTTATTCATCATAGCTTATTGTCGCTATGTAGAGTATTTTAACCCTTCCATTTTCTGAATTTTGATTGTACTGTTTTTAAAAATAATTGTATCTAGCATTTGCCATTATTGTGTTTTGAATAACTTTCCTTTTTTCTTTTAAAAACTATATTTAACTTTTGTTTGCTCTGTTTTGTAGTTTTAATTATATTTAACCCATGTCTTTTGGCTTTATACATACCTAATCTTGTTTTTAAATATAATTCTTATTAATTTCATTTTCTATTTTTGAATATTTTGTATACTTAACCCTTATGTGTATTAAAAAATTGCTTTCAGCACTGTAATTGTGGTGTTATTAGTATTGGTATTTAAATGTTGCCTGTTTTTATAAATTCTTTTTAACCCTTGCCTAATTTATTGTAACCCTTGACTTTCAAATGCTTTATTACTTTTTTATCCATCTGTTTTCAAATATTTATCATTTATTTTAACAATTGAAAAATAGCACCTCCTACCCTCTCTAGTATTTTGAGACAGCCATCAACTAACTCTTAGGTGCCCTTTCCCCTACTCCTTACCAATGAAAGAGAGTGAAAATGAGGAAAAGTTCTATTGATATCAAGCTACTGGGTGCGTAGATGACTGTTTCTGGTCAGCTGCTGATTTGCTGCCCCAAGAGGCTTTTTAAGATCTATCCAAGAGAGAAAGTCCTTGTTTTCAGTTTCCTGAGATCCAGGAATGCTCCATATGGCTGGGGAAGCATGGATGGGAAAGTAACAGGCTCCCAAGCTGTGCATTGAGTTCCCTCCTCCTTCCATTGAGTCTGAATGTTCTGCTTGGGCTTCTTCTGGTATTCTTAACCATCTTTGAACTTCTCCCCTTCTGACATTTTCCAGGTGTCTCCAGTAGCAGTCCGTGGCTGATGTTCTAAATCCTATTTTTCTGTACCACTCTTTTCAGATTCTGGTGCCTCCTTCCAGTTTCAGAAGACTCTACACACGCTCTAGCCTCTCCAAAAATTCTTACAGTCTCTGGTCCTCCCAGTGTTTCCTTTCCACTCATTAGTCTTTCCTTCCTCTTCCCAAACTTCCAGTCTCTTTCGTTCCCTTCCTATCACTCCTTCTTCGTCCTTTCTTCCTTAAGGACCTCAGCTCTCTGTCTTCATCTCCCCCTCTTCCCCCCTCCAACTTTTATCCCCTCAGTTATCTTCTCTCCATATCTGGGGTCTTAATTATCTGAAGGTGTAGCTGTCTGGTGCTGTGGCTGCAGCTGTTTTTGAATCAACTGTGTCCTTCCTCCCACTTCATTGTCAGCTCTGTGTTCTCTCTGTCTGGGTCTCTTTCATACTTCCCTTTTGAACTGCAGTTAGATAAGAGGAGTGGGAGCTGAGATGGGCTCAGGCAGGGAGTGGGGATGAGAAAATTCTACTGTTGACCGTCCATCCACCCAATAGTGGAGGTCAACGGCTGGCCTCCCACATTCTTCATTACCCAGATTCTGTCTCCAGCTTTCCCTTCCCTCCTCACTTCCTTGGTGTTGGCCCCACTTCCCACTGTCTATGCAAGCTGTATAGGGCAGATGGAAAGATGTAGTGACACATGTTGGAGAGCTGATGGCTGCAGTGCTGTATGTGTAGAACACACATGGCTGCAGCAACTGGGCATAAGCACTAAATGCTTGTGCATAAGGCCCTAGCTCCTGGAATCATGTGATTACACCAGAATTTCGGCTTTCATTTAATAAATAAGTTTCTAGCCCTCATGGTTGTAAAGAAACCCTTAAAAATGTGTATTAAAAGTAACTGATGCAGTGATATCTGCCTGAGTCAGCAGACAGCTTGAAACAATAGCTCTGAGATGAAAGAGCTGGCCCACGCAACTCAACAGGGAGTTAATGCCGAGACTCAGTTCTCTGGGGTGCCCACCAACAGCATCCAAGCAGAGGACTCTGTCAAGAGAAGAATGCACTGGTCCCCTCCCAGCCCCCCAAATGGATACATACTGGGTGATGGGGTAAATATTGTCGGGTCCCTCTGCTGCCACCCTTGCTTTTCAGGTAGGGAAAGGGGGAATCTTCTGCTTCCCTGTGGGAAGTGGGATCTCTGCTGCTGCTCTTGGGCAGGAAAAGGGGCCCCTGCATTTGCCTCTCTGGGTGGGGGATCCCTGCCACCACCTCTCCAAGTGGAAGTTGAGCCACCGTGTCTTGCTCAAGCCTTTGGTAGCAGATAATTGGCTGGGAACTGTTGTGACTGTTGAAATCAATACAACAGGACCCGTAAAAGTCAAGGGACTTATAACTGCTGGCTTTATAGGTGTCAAAAGACATCCCGGCAAACAGTTACTCTCTTTTAAAACCGATCATAAGCCAATTAATGCGGTACTTAAACCTTACCCTGCTCAGTTAGTCATCCTACCTATACCTCTGAAGTGTATCGTATATTATTAGAAAATACAAGATAGAAGTATATCATTTTCAAAATCTTGCAAGACTAGAATGATACATGGTCTTAATTTTCTTTTTCATATTTATTTTCTTGTATAATAGCAACACTCTCTATAGCTTTGCTGTTACGTTCTTTTATTTTGGAATATATTGTTTGCTTTTAAACTTAAGTATTCACCATGTTTGGTTTGTTGTGGCTTAGTACAAAAGCAGTTGAATTTAACTTCTTCACATAAGCAAAGTTCACTCCAGTAAGCATCCTGCTCACATCTGTATTTATCCAGCCTCCTCTACTTCATAATTGGAAGTGCTGAATTGGAAATAGTAGTAAGTTCATCTTCAAGTGGGTGCCGATGTGTATTCCACGTAGGCGTGTGAGCGCCAAGCTCACTGGAGCTGGAGACTTATGCCTAGCAGTACTTGTAAAAGGGCATCGCTAGCACCTCATAGGTGTGGTCCCTCCCCTGCTTTATGAGGCGGCGGCGCTCTTACTCCTCTCAGTTCCTTCTCACTGCCTGTGGCTGGAGTAGGAGCTCTGTGTGGTTGTAGTCTTACAACCTTGCATTCAGTCTTAGTCTAGTTTCTTGTATACAGTTAGGTGGTTAGTATTAGTTAGTAGTCAGTAGATAGTGATCCCCAGTGATGCTTTCACCAGGGTTTAAACATTGTCCATTGTGTGGAGGGGTGATCTCCAACAGTGACCCCCCCATACAAGGTGCTTGCTTTGTTTTAGCAAGGTCCACCTTAAGGAGCATTGATTGATCTGTAAATTGTTTAAAAAGAGGACTCAGGTGGTGCAGGACCTTCACCACAAGCAGCACCTGCTTGAACAGACCATGTGGTCTGATCTGGTACTGAGGCCTTTCTTGGGTTGAAGATCACCCTTGGGCTCGGAGAGCACTTCCACCTTTTGTTCTGGGGTAGGTGCCTTGCTGAAGAGACAGAGGATCCGAGGAAGAGGTTTCATAAGATCAGTTGGTACCACTCCAGGTTGTGGGACAACTCCTCTGCCTCCCCCAGGAAAAGTGCAGATTGGCATGGGACTGGTTCCAGCACATGGGATGGCACTGGTACCACTGACCCTTCCCTGGTACTGAACGGGAAAGTCAGAAATCCTGTACCATCTACTCCACTTCAGGCCTCCGGGCATCCATT